TGCAGTGGTGCAATCACAGCTTACTGCAACCTCCGCCTCCTGGGTTCAAGCAATTCTCCTGCCTCAGCCTCCTGAGTAGCTGGGATTACAGGTGTATGCCACCATGCCCAGCTAATTTTTGTATTTTTAGTAGAGACAGGGTTTCGCCATGTTGGCCAGGCTGGTCTCAAACTCAACCTCAGGTGATCCGCCTGCCTCAGCCTCCCAAAGCGCTGGGATTACAGGCAAGAGCCACTGTGCCCAGACCAAAAAATTTTTTAAAATAAACAAATTAGCCGGGCGTGGTGATGCGAGCCTGTGGTCCCAGCTACTCAGCAAGCAGAGGTGGGAAGATCGTTTGAGCCCAGGAGGTCAAGGCTGCACTGAGCCATGCTTGCACCATTGCACTCCAGCCTGGTTGACAGAGTGAGACCCTATCTCAAAAAAAAAAAAGAATAAAAAGAAATAAAAGATAGAGATCTCAGAGAACTTAAGGTTTAATGGGAGACATCAAATGAATATACAATATGGAGACATCAGAAACAGTTAAGAAGGTTTAAAGTATCTGACAGGTTCACGTTAAGAGATTGCACATCGGCCGGGCATGGTGGCTCATGCCTGTAATTCCAGCACTTTGGGAGGCTGAGGCAGGTGGATCACAAGGTCAGGAGATCGAGACCATCCTGGCTAACACAGTGAAACCCTGTCTCTACTAAAGAATAAAAAATACAAAAAATTAGTTTGGCATGCTGGTGCGCACCTGTAATCGCAGCTACTCGGGAGGCCGAGGCAGGAGAATTGCTTGAACCAGGTAGGCGGAGGTTGCGGTGAGATCACACCACTGTACTCCAGCCTGGGCGACAGAGTGAGACTCAGTCTCAAAAAAAAAGAGAGAGATTGCACATCAAGTTTCTACGTCCTGAGATCATAAAATAAAGCTAAAGTTCAGAGGCAAATGAATTGATCTGGAATAGCTTCCTAAGAACAGTGAGTTTTTAGTGAATTTTGAAGTAAGAAAAGAACTTGAGTTGACAAAAGGAACTGGAAGCATTTTCCAAAACATGGTAATGGCAAGTTCAGAGCTTTGTAGCTGAAGTGAACTGGGACCAGGTTAAAGTCATTGCAGTAAGAAACCATATGGGCACCCAGGAGACATAAAGGTCATGGGAATTTGCACGAAGTGGGGTGGGGAGGACAGAGGAGGCACAAGCACAAGATGTAGATTTTGGGAACCTTCTGATTGAGAGGCAGGGTCTTTCAGAAGAAGACAAAGCAGGGGTCAAGGCATTTGCCTTTGGGATCTGCTGAAAATTGGATAACAATACACAATTGGCACTGGCAGCTGGAGTATCAGAGGCAGCAGCTCCTGGCCGACAGACAAGCCTTCCACATGGAGCAGCTGAAGTATGCGGAGATGAGGGCTCGGCAGCAGCACTTCCAACAGATGCACCAACAGCAGCAGCAGCCACCGCCAGCCCTGCCCCCAGGCTCCCAGCCTATCCCCCCGACAGGGGCTGCTGGGCCACCCGCAGTCCATGGCTTGGCTGTGGCTCCAGCCTCTGTAGTCCCTGCTCCTGCTGGTAGTGGGGCCCCTCCAGGAAGCTTGGGCCCTTCTGAACAGATTGGGCAGGCAGGGTCAACTGCAGGGCCACAGCAGCAGCAACCAGCTGGAGCCCCCCAGCCTGGGGCAGTCCCACCAGGGGTTCCCCCCCCTGGACCCCATGGTAAGTGTCATGTTCCAGAACTTTTGTTGACTAGAAGAATCCAGGTGAATGTCCCAGTTCCCCTCAAAGGGAATACAAGATGAGTCTGGAGATGAGGTTAGCCTCAATTTCTATAGATGGGCCCATCTCTCTTAGGCCCCTAAACCAGCAGGAATCCTTCCCCAAACTCGAGAGCTTTGGAATTTTGTTCACTTACTCTAGTGTCAGAAAAAGGGAAGACAGAGCCAAGGAATGGCTAGATTATCCTTGTTTGTAAAAGTGAGTTATTCTTTGGGAGGCAGAGGCGGGTGGATCACGAGGTCAAGAGATCAAGACCATCCTGGCCAACATGGTAAA